TGGGTCTTGTTTCATATCACACAGTGACATTTGAATAATTAAAATGCATTTTTTATTAAAAGCTTTAGTTTACAGTAATAACCATGTCTAATGTTTGATTCTCTGTCTCATAATTTTAATTAAAAGTTTTACTTTGAGAGCACATTTTCCTGAACAATTAAAATGCGATTAATTTAGATTAATTAATTACAAAGCCTGTAATTAATTAGATTAAAAATTTTAATCAAGTCCCAGCCCTAATATATATATATATATAATCAAACCTTCACTTCACTTAAGAAGCCTTCTCTGGATCCAGATGACCCAATGAATTATAGACCAATATCTAACCTTCCATTTTTATCCAAAGTCCTGGAGAAAATAGTGGCCATCCAAGTATGTCAGCATTTAAACACTAATGCTCTGTTTGAGGAATTTCAGTCTGGTTTTAGAGAGTATCACAGTACTGAAACTGCATTAGTGAGAGTTACAAATGATATTCTCATGGCCTCAGATAAGAATCTTGTGTCTGTTCTAGTCTTGTTAGATCTCAGTGCTGCCTTTGACACAGTAGATCACAATGTTCTTGTAGAAAGACTTGAACATGTAGTAGGGATCAAAGGAACAGCGTTAGGCTGGTTTAAATCCTACCTGTCTGACAGATTTCATTTTGTAAATGTACATGACAAATCTTCTTCATACTCCAGGGTTACTTGCGGAGTACCACAGGGTTCAGTGCTTGGACCAATTCTTTTTACTATATATATGCTCCCAATTGGTAAAATCATTAGACAGCATGGGATAAACTTCCACTGTTATGCTGACGATACTCAGTTATATTTATCCATTAACCCTGATGAACCTAATCGGTTGGGTAGATTACAGGCTTGTCTTGAGGACATAAAAAATTGGATGACTAAACTTTTTGCTTTTAAATCAAGACAAGACGGAAGTTCTCATCTTTGGACCAGAAATCCAGAAAAGGAAATTGCTTGGCCAATCGCCTGACCTTAATGGCATTGCATTGATCTCCGAGAACAAAGCAAGGAACCTTGGTGTTATCTTTGATCAGGACATGTCATTCAAATCCCAGGTTTCACAAGTTTGTCGGATTTCCTTTTTCCACCTTAGGAATATTGCTAAGATTAGAAGCATCCTTTCCAGGAGTGATGCTGAAAAACTAGTTCATGCATTTATTACATCAAGACTGGATTACTGTAATTCATTACTCTCAGGAAGTCCACAGAATGTAGTTAAAAGTCTTCAGCTTGTCCAAAATGCTGCAGCTAGAGTTCTGATGAGAATTAAAAAGAGAGATCATATCTCTCCTGTCTTAGCTTCCCTACATTGGCTACCTGTTAAATTCAGAATAGATTTTAAGATCCTTCTTCTCACATATAAAGCTCTTAATAATCAAGGTCCATCATACATCAGTAATCTGATTGTTCCATATGTTTCTAACCGAGCACTTCGCTCTCAGACTGCAGGTCTACTGGTGGTTCCAAGAATATCTAAACTTAGGATGGGAGGCAGATCTTTTAGTTATCAGGCTCCTCTCCTGTGGAACCAGCTCCCAGCTTTAGTCCGTGAGGCAGACACTTTGTCTACTTTTAAGAATAGGCTTAAAACATTTTTATTTGATAGGGCCTATAAATAAAATCTAATCTGATGTTAGCCTAGATCTGGACAAGTGGGGGAGTAGAGGGAGGTGGAGTGTACAGTCGGTAAAGACAGCTCTCCCTTGCCCTGCCTCCAACATGCCTACATCTAAATAGGATAGATTATCCAGGGTTAACTCTGTAGTTATGCTGCTATAGGCTTAGACTGCTGGAGGACACACTGACCACTTTTCACACTCTTCTGCTTTATTCTACAGTCTGCTCTTTAACTGTACTATTTTGTGCAATTTCAGCTGTTAACTTTGTTTTCTCTGTAAGTGTTTTTCTCCCCAGAAGAAGCTACAATGACCTTCTGCTGAGCTGTGGTGGCCTCATGGAGGGGGCCATCGTCTAGCACACTGCTGCTAACCACTTAAACATACTCTCTCCTGATAATAACTTTTTGTTTTCATTGACTTTTGATGTGCTACTACTAGTTTACCCGTTTAATTATAGATCCACTAGGATAAATACAATAAAGTTTATCTTTCACCAAATACAATATTTACTGACATCACAATATAACTGTAGACACATTACTTGTCTTTGTGTGTGTGTGTGTGTGTGTGTGTGTGTGTTTGTGTTTGTGTTTGTGTTTGTGTCTGTGTCTGTGTGTGTGTGTGTGTGTGTGTGTGTGTGTGTGTGTGTGTGTGTGTGTGTGTGTGTGTGTGTGTGTGTGTGTGTGTGTGTGTGTGTGTGTGTGTGTGTGTGTGTGTCTGTGTCTGTGTCTTTGTCTGCCTGCTCTGTCTTCTCGACCCCCAGTGAGTCGTGGAGGATGGCTGCTTATACTGAGCCAGGATTCTCTGGAGGTTTCTTCCTGTTAAAAGGGAGTTTTCCTCTCCACTGTCGCTGCATGCTTGCTTAGTATGAGGATTGCTGTATAGTCACTGACACTAGTCAGTGACTTGATGCAATTTGCTGGGTTCCTTATATAGGAAACATTATTTCTGATTGGCTTAATGAACTGTGAATTGGAATGTTTATTATGTGAAGTGCCTTGAGACGACTCTTGTCGTGATTTGGCGCTATATAAATAAACTTGAATTGAATTGAATATATATATACCGTAAATCGTAAATCCTCTAATACAGGCCCGGGCCTATATTTGACTCAAGCTCATCAAGCTCCAGGCCTTTATTGGAAGGAGGGCCAGAATTAGAGACAGGCCTCTATTTCTATTTGAGCAAAATGAACAAATGGTTCGCTGGAGTTTTTGACAATTAAAATTGCGCCCACATTTTCAAAGTTAAACACATTTCTTTTAACAACGGTAGTTTCTGCTTCAGCCCTCTCCCCCCTCCACCTGCGCAGCGGCTGCAAACTCACTGATGCGCCTGCAGCCTCTCGGAGTTCCTGCTGCTCTAAACATTAAAATAATTATTTAATTTTTTGTTCCTCACTTCGGATTACCTTCAATGGTGTCTGTTTGTTGCAACCACCAACTGTCTTGTTTTTATTAGACTATTTTTCTGTCCTGCCTGTTTATTATCTTCCTGCATCTCCTCTCAATCCTAAAGAAAAACTGCTACCTGGGTTCATATATATTCACCTTATGAGTTACCTTTGAACTGCAGTTCTAAAAGATCTACCGACCGCAAAAACAGCGGAGTGCTCGCTGCTTGGTGGCCGCATCAGTGATCGGTGCGTCACCAGAGGACAAGGTGATGTGCCCTGCTCCACAGCGAAACGCATCAGGCACAAATAAAAGACAGAAAACATTAAAGGAAATGAACCGACATGAACGATCGCGTGTCAGTACCGACGCTCTGGCACAGCGCGTTGCCCCCGAGCGCAGGAGCTTGTGACCTGCTGACAGCAGGCTGCTGTCTTTTCCGAGGACTGCATCTTGCCGGTCATTATCACGTGACAGCGACTAGTCGATGACAGGCAAAAAGTCACTATAGTGAAGTCGACTAGTTCATACAACCCCTACTGCTCCCCAGTGTTCTGCAGCGCACGTTCTCTTTGAACTTGATATCAAATTTTCGCCTCCTATTTGTCTCCGCACGGTTAAAGTTACCCTCGCGGTCTATCACTGGCAAATCAAAAGTGAGACGATGACACAACCGCCCCCTCCGTACTTGCTTGTTACCACATTCCACCCGGCCACAATAAGAAACCGGCCATTATTCACCTCCGCCGACTCCGACACCAGCCACAATATGAGACCTGGCCCTTAATTGAATACAGGCCTGTATTAGAGGATGCACATTTGTTTGATTTCAATAAGATATAAATGCCACGTTACAATACTAAGCTAACTGCCAAGAACATTAGCCTTCTGAAAGCTATTTACAGTGAGAACACATGAAAACAGTATCAGACTGTTAACCCTTTTATTTTTATGGCTGTTTTATAAGCAACTGTTTACTAAAACACTCAGTAATCTCTTACCTGTTAGAAAGTGATCACTGTAAACTCCAGCATTGTCTGTGTCTCCTCCTGTTTCAAGCCGTAGGTTATACTGATTTACTTCTGCCGTCTTCTTTCAAGATGTTTTTATTTATTTTTTAAATGAAGTCCTTTGTGGCGCACTTCATTCTAGACTTGAACTAAACGTTTGTCTTTATCCCGATTATTGTGACTGAAATAACCATAGACCGCATAGAATTTTGGCATTTTAAGGCCAGGTCACCAAAGTAAATAGTGTTTTGTGCAGCACCGGCTATTTCCGAACCCCCATCTGCATTTGATGAATAGATCATAGATGTAGTTTTGGGGGGAGATGTGTACTTTTTCCAAAGTCCCTTGCACTTTTTACCAACCAAAAACTATTATATGCTATTTTAAATAGATACTGGTTGAGCACTAGGACCAAGCGGAAAACAACCACTTGTGCTGAAGCCTGTTTCCCATTAGAACCGTCCATAAGCTCATCTATTGTCTCTGCTGATACTTGCTCATGTGTGATTGGCCGTTCCTGCCACCTGTGTTTGACAGTTCTGCATTCCTGACATTGCATAAAAAGAGCCTCTAGACAGTCGTTTTATACATATTTTTTGTATATTTATTGTCCTCATGCCAGTTGTGCCCCCCCACCCCACTTCTAAAGTCAGAACTATGTCCATGATGTAGATGCAACGTCATGTGAAGCCAGTAAATCATTGTTAAGAAAACAAACACTGTTTTTCTTATTTTTGTGTAATGTTTATTTGTGTTTGAAATCAATGTGAATTTATTTTCCTAAATACAATTTTTTTCACTCAAGCTAAAACTCCACAGTGAGTAACAAACATTAAGCTGTTCAATTTCTAGACCTTCTGTTTTTCTTTCCCTGATTTCTCTTCAAGGCTCTTGTTAGACTAAAACTGACCTCATCCGTCAAAAATTGTGAAATGCACGAGCAATTAAATTACACAACACTCATGATGACCTTTTTAATAATTCATAAACAAACAAAAATGCACAGGAACAGTCATGTTTTGTAGTTTTGAAGCCTTTAAAATCTCTCATCGTCTGTAATTACACTGATACTGTTTCTCATACACACCACATTTATCGCTCTTATATATAGCTATAAAAACACGTTCGACTGATTGTGAAAGACATTAAAGTCCTAAAAACAAAACTCAACAAAACAAAGCTTCAGTGGCAGCAAATGAAACAGAGACCTGTCAGAAACCTTTAGTGGTTCAACGTTCAACAGTGTGAAAAGGAAATATTGCACATAGAGAAAAGGCTTTTGGGATGACATCATCATTAATTCAAAAGAAGTTTGTCAGCAAATGAGATGAATTCAGATGTGTCTAGTGTCATCCATTTTCCTCAGCAACAGCAGCCAATGCTTTTTTTTGTCAACATGTCTGAAATAACAAAGTAATCTTCAAATAGAGTTTAGAAAGAAATCAATCAAACTGACATCATTAAATGCAAACCTGACATAAAGTGGCACGTACAATTCAAGAATTATAATTCTTCAGCTCAAGGTACATTTGGCCAACATTCCAACTTCTGAAAATTATCTCCTATTTATCCATTTTCTTTTTACCTAAAAGCAAAATTAAGAAAAAGAAACTTGCAATAGGACAGATTTTCTGTTAAGACACTGCTGTTAAATTGACACACCTCAAGTATATACAGAAGCTGACAAATCAAACAATGTTAATACATTTTTCCTATGATTTTCTTGTAAAATCATTTTTGTAGGATTTTTCAAATTTGTGGTATTTTGGCAATGAACATGGCATCACCATGGACCTGTTTGGTTTCAGGGGGGAACAAGTGAATCATTGTAAAAGTAAAGTAGTAACTGTTTTGGATGGACGTCTCCAGCAGATGATCCAGTTATCTTTTAAGGAAAACTTCAAGACCTTGTGTTTCATTTTATTTTGTTTGAGTGAGATAAAGAGTTGCTTTAATAACAGTTATTTTACTTTTTGGAACTGACATTTTTGCACAGATATTCATATAGATAGTGTGCAATTAAAAGATTTCCTGCTGAACATTTAAGGTATTTTGGGATTTTCTGTCCATAAAGAGGCTAACTTCCTCTTTTACACAGTATGATGCTCATTCCCTGAAAAGAAAAAAAAAAAAAAAAAGCCAGAACCCCTCTCACTGGATGACTGGAAGACTCCTCTATGACATATGAAGCAATCCAGAACACAGAGTCTTAGCAGGATGCTGAAGAGGGTTCCCCCACATACACGCCTGATAGGTCACCATTAGTTGCACAAACAGCAGTAAGTAGTGAGGTTGTTATGGTTCATCTAAGCTTATCAGGGTCCTATGTAGAGCACAGTGGCTCTGTGTCCATGACATGGGACCTACACCATTGCGGTTTCATCTATATGTCAGATTATAATCCCATTAAACCATCACAGTCATTCTAACAATGGCTAAGCTTCTAGATGCATCTTAATAGGTTCCAAGAGAGTTTGGAGCTCAGGTTTGGGTTTGAACTGTGGTGAAAGAGAGAAATATGTAGGAGAGTGTTTGGAAAAAAAAATTAACGACCGATTTTCCATTGAAGGATGTCTTCCACATTTGCTGATTTCCAGTCACAATCTACTTGGCTGTGTAAGTCATGGAGACCATATTGGTTTCAATCCAGTGTGAAGGGGCATCTGTAGTTCTTATAAAATTTGTTTAACTAGTCATGTTAGTAGATCACTAATTTCCACGTCTGGGTTTTGTGAGGACTTTGTTGAATGTCCTTAAAGAGCCACAGCAGTTTTTGACACTTCCCTGTTGATTTTATGTTTTTCTTTTAGCATCTAGCAAAGGTTCCCCCACTCATCCCTACCCTTTACTATCTGTGTTCAAATCAAGTTTTAGTAGTGTCACATTTCATAGTGCTGAGGCTAAATGGTGGCCCAGAAATCTAGACGGTCAGTAGCTGTAGCAAAACGAATCTGCTCTGCAGCTCGATCTAGCCACGCTACGTTGGAGCCTCATCAGGCCCGCACTGGCTTGCCAGTGACAGCGTTCTATTGGTTTGGTGGGCCAGTCAACGAGCTCTATCGGTTTAATGGGCCAATCACAATGCTCCATTTGTTTGGTGGGCCAATCATGGCACTCTATTGGTTTGGTAGGCCAGTGACAGCACTCTATTGGTTTAGTGGGCCAATCATAGTGGTCTGCCAGTTTGAAGGGCCAATCATAGCACTATGTTGGTTTGGTGGGCCAATCAGAGAGCTCTATCGGTTTAATGGGCCAGTCACAGCGCTCCATTGGTTTGATGGGCCAATCACAGTGCTCTATCGGTTTGGTGGGCCAATCATGGCACTCTATTGGTTTGGTGGGCCAATCACAAAGCTCTTTTGGTTAGTGGGCCAATCACAGTGGTCTGTCAGTTTGTAGGGCCAATCATAGCACTCTATTGGTTTAGTGGGCCAATCACAGCACTCTATTGGTTTGATGGGCTTAGTGGGCCAATCACAGTGGTCTGTCAGTTTGTAGGGCCAATCAGAGCACTCTATTGGTTTGGTGGGCCAATCACAGTGCTCCATTGATTTGGTGGACCAATGACAGCACTCTATTGGTTTAGTGGGCCAATCACAGTGGTCTGTCAGTTTGAAGGGCCAATCATAGCACTCTATTGGTTTGGTGGGCCAATCACAGCGCTCCATTGGTTTGATTTGGTGGGATGTTACTGCAACGGAGCAAAAAAAGATGGCAATAGTTTATTTGAAACAACTTTGGATTATTTAGACTTGGACTCATTTTTAGTAAGGAGCAAATAGAGGTACTTGTCCTTTATTTCAGATTTAATTTAAATAATTGCATCTTCTCTCTATAGGTTGTGGCCAGACTACTGTACATATTTACAAACATATGATGACTTTCCAGGCTAACTAACTAACCCCACAAATTAAGATTTTTCTGGAGCTCACTTTAGAGTAGCTAAGTAACTCACAAAAAAATAATTTTATAGTCACAACAATCTGAAATGAACGTGGTTTAAGAGAAAGAGTGGCTAACTGGTAGGTTGCTGCTATGATCCCAGCTCCTGTCTACCTCTTAAGATTCATTTTAAAAAGAGATTAGATCCACCTGGTTATAGAAAGGCCCACATCCTAACATTTTGATGTCTAATTCAATATTTTGCCAGTGCATACATTTTGGTATTACATTCAGTCTTTGTCAGCAAACATTAAACATATCGGTGTTGTTATAATTTTACACATCCTGATGAAACCCATTTCACTAGCAACAATCAATGAGCTAGTTTCCTGAATACTGAAACTAGTACCCTTTATTAATTCTAACAGAAGCCTAACAAAGAACTCAAAGTTAGGGGCACAGGTATGCTTAGAAAATGGGATTAAGGTCAAGGTCACATTTATTTCTAAAGCACACGTATTATTGCTTCCGCAACCCAAAGTGCTGTACAACACAGAAGATGCAATCACGAACAAGTATAACTAAAAACCATAAAACCATAAAAATCAGCAAGTTAGGATGAAAACAACATTACATCATACAATTATAAAATCAATAAAAATGAGAAAGAATGACTATGACAAAATAAAATCATCCCTAAATCTCTTTTGGCAATGGGTATGGCACACCATTAAAACCATTTGAACCAGTTTGGAATTAGGTACAGCAACAAAAGCTGAGATTTACAGCAATGAAATTAAAAATCTGATTTCAAGTAGAATACTATTTGAACTTTATGTAAACATGTTTTTTGATGTCCTTTTTGGGATTTAATCTTGAAAAGATGCTGAGAGAACCAATGATCATTTTCCATGACCTAAAATACATTTGGAAACAAAAAAAGATTGTTTTCTGAAGTTATATCTATAGTTTCAGGACTGATTACTGAGATGTGCATACATTAATTTTCCAAAACAATTATAGCTTTAAACTTTGAGACATTTTGAAATGAGGTACGCTCATCCAATCATCCCTCCCTTGACCGGTTTCAATCTCTTATTCTGCTGGAAAGCCTAAAGCGGTGCACAAAAAGTTGAGACAAGCCGTGACAAAAGCACAATTGTTCATTAAGAGCATATGGGATTTCATACAATAAGGCATTACTTTAATGGAAACAGCTGGACAGACATTTCACAGTTTAATTGATGCTTGACTAACAAGCAGAGTCTTGTAAATCAAGCATGACTTCATACTGATTGTTTCAGTTAGAATCAATACAAAACAGATATTCAGCCGAAGTATTCCACAACATCGAGTACCTGACATGGAGTGGTGGGGGGAAAAAAGGTCAGCCGTGGACAAACAAAGCAGGGAAGCTTAAAATCAAGCAAATCCAAATGACCAACTGGTTCCATTTCACCAGCAAATGAATAAATACAGAATGAAGGAGTTACAGAACGTTGTTAAGTTTTCATACACAGTCATTCTATGCCACAAGCACAATTTGGGGAAAAAAACACAAACAGATCTCCCATATTAGATCCACATATTTGCAGACATCAGTGGAAATAATACTGATTTGGGATAGTTTTCTTATCTAGAATCAAAATTATAAATGAAAATCTATGGTCGGTTTCTTGGGAGAGAAAAGAAAGTCAAAAGGCCAGTTTTTCTAGTTAATTGCTGCTAATAATATAGCCTATTTACAATCATCTATTGTATACAACAGAAGTAGCCTGTTTTCATTTATAATCTAAGCTGATATGTCCTGGCTGTCATCAAAGAGGAGAAACTTATTTCAAACATGGGTAAAGTCATTAATTGTGCTTTTTAACCCACAAATCCACTTCATGGTTGAAATGGGACAAATTCAGGCACCGATTGAAGTGCTTACATCAGATGGAGAGTATTCCTAAAGCTATAACAAGGACTGAAAATACAAATAGTAAATATAGTTTATTCATATGTGTATGAAGTTAACACAACCCCCTTTGAGTCCCATGTTCAGTTTAAAAAAATATGTTCTTCACATCGCCAAACGTCCAACAAGAAGGATCTTTGTGTCAATGCCAAAGCCCTTTTGACGCCCTATGGGAAAATGTCTTTGCCTGGGTTGATCCTAGTTACCCAAAATCTGGATGACACTGAAGCTTGTGCTAAAAAGCATGAAACATTTTAGTTTGTTAGAGGAGATTGAACAGCTGTACAGAAACTTGCTGATATTATGAAAGTCTTTTGAATTCTGCAATGATCTAAAGAGTCTAAAGAGTCCTTCAGTTAAACAGTTACCTCATTCTTACTGGCAGTGCGGTACGTGTGGTGGTGGCCAGGAATGTACTGCAGGTGGTCCACTGTGTGTGTTCTTCGGGAAGCAAAAGCCTGCCTCTTGGATGTGGATGTTCCTCCATGATGGTTTACCATCAGCGTGTTGTAAGAGTCATTAGAGGCACTGGGTTGAGAGTGCATCTTGGTCACCTTGTGGCGGTCCATCACAGGTGTGGTGGGCAGCAACATGTCGGCGTGAGACATCGCTCGTGCCATGGCCTTCTCTCGAAACTTGTCGCGCCTCATCGCCGGGGACAGCAGCAAGGGGTCCTGGGAGTGAAGGCGGTCTGCAGAAAGTAGCTGCTCATTTGAGAGGTTCCGACTGCTTCCATACGCTGCAGCTGCCATGGCGCCGTACGACGACAAGCCATAATCTCCACGGCGTGGTGTCCTGGGAGGGGACAGTACGTGGTCTTGGGACATGGCCCTCTGGACCCGTCGAGGACGTTGCCGCTGCTGGTGTTGCTGGTGCTGCTGGGCTTCAGCATTCAGCTTCACCATGTGAGTATGACCCCGACCTCCAAAGTCAGCATGATGATGCTTCCTCGGGTAATAGTCATCAATGTCTTTCTCACCTGTTCGGTCAGAAGAAAAAGTTTATTAGAGATAAAAAGTCCCTGTTTGTGACAGGCAGTCTTACTTTAAAAAAGTAATCAGTTATAGTTACAAATGACTTTTCACAAAAAGTAATTGCGTTAGCAATTCTGTTTTTATCACATTGTAAAAGTATGTAGGTACTTAGCAAAGTAACTGTGACATTATTTTTATGATGTTATTTTTATGTTCTTTAATGCAGCTACGTTCTATAATGTCTGTATTATCAAAATTTGTTTATAGCTGAATGATTCTTACTACAGTAGTCCCTCGGTATAATGCGGGTCGCCATTCGTGGCTTCGCTGTTTTGCAGATTTTTTTTCCATCGTTACCAGTTCAGTGGTCTAGTGGTAGAGTGTCCGCCCTGAGACTGGGAGATCAGGGTTCGATTCCTGGTCGGGTCATACCAAAAACTTTGAAAAAATGGGACCCAATGCCTCCCTGCTTGACACTCAGCTAGGGCTGCTCGATTATGGCAAAAATAATAATCACGATTATGGTGTCTGAAATTGAGATCACGATTATTTAGGACGATTTTTCTATTTATGCTGATTTTATTTGTTTTTATTCAGTCATAAAATTGCTCAGGGCACAATCAGGACAAAAATAAATAAGAAACAAGATGATCACTAAAATAACTCCTGATTCCCAGTATAAAAAGACCAATATACTTATAGCTCATAGTTTATGACCCAAGGGCTATAGACCTTGGTTTAACTCATTTAAGTCTAACCAGTACAGACCCAAATACCAATATCTTGCAAATACTGACAGCAAGAATTATACAGTGGCATTTATAACAAATAAATGCAAACAAATTGATGTTCACAAAATGTTGTATAACATTTATTGAGTCGTGTCAAGGTGCTGTAGGAGAGTGCACTAGCACCGTGTCCTCAGAGAGATTAGTTATTATTTATCAGCGTGAGGAACTTATTTATACCTTATTTATAAACTATTTATTTACAAGTCATCCATCAGTTAATGTAATAATTGTCCCAACCACAGCTGCACCCCCCACCCCCCAACCCGGTCTTACAGCAATCAGGGGAGGGCTGCACGTGTGTTTAGCGCGCCGCACGCGCACATTTAGCCATTTTTAGCGGCTCAGGAGTCCGCAGGTGCGGTGTGTGTGTCACTCACTCTGGTTACTCCAACAAGGAGCTGGCTCAGAGAGCTGTTTCTTTAGCGACTGACACATCACTACATCATTCCCTTTCCTAATGTCCTGAAGAACGGTCCGGAGCGCAGGCGGAGTGTTTAGCTAACCTGCAGGAAATGTCGACGACAGTTATCCAGAAAGTAGCTAAGGGTTACCAGAGATGTTTCTGAGATGTTCGCTACGTACTTTTAAGATTTAAAAAGTCAAGAAGGGGGTCTGAAAAACTGCTAGAAATAACGTCAAAGTCGCCAAGTTGGCAACACAGTAGGAGGAGCGCTTCATTTGCAACTCAGGGCAGCACAAGTGGGAGGAGCAAATAATCGGCTTGTTTTGTTTTTTATAATCGTTCAAAACTCAGATCGTAATCGTGATTAAAATTTGATTAATTGAGCAGCCCTACACTCAGCATTAAGGGGGTTGGATTGGGGGGTTAAACCACCAAATGGTTCCCGAGCGCGGCTGTGTCTGCAGCTCACCGCTCCCCCAGGGGATGGGTCAAATGCGGAGAACAAATTTTGCACACACATCAGTGTGTGTGACAACTAATGGGACTTTAACTTTAAATAAAAGGCGGAAAAAAAATGGACATTAACGAAAATCCAATCAGAAAACGGAAAAGACAGATGATTGGAAAAAAGAAACAATCAGCATTTGGGAGAGGCGGGGCTAGAGGAAAGAACCAATCAGAGTCCAGAGCCGGACACTGTTTGAACAAGCTAGCGGTAACCATATGTGCCAGTAAAAGTTAAACAACCTATGTCTAAAACGAGAGAATGTCTGCGGCTGAGAGGAAAAACCATTAAATGTGACCATCTGAAACGTCTTTGCTTGGTGAGCACACATCCTGGGTCTCTCCTGGTCTAAAGGTTACAGAGGTAGCAGCGCAGGGGCAGGAGACGAGTGGAATGTGGGCCCCGAACCGAACGCACAGCGTTCTGCATCTGGTTGTTTCATTGTTCTGCTACGGCCATAATATAATCAGCGTTCACTGTTCTAGTGGTGTTTTTGTGAGAAAAAAAATTCAGGCAGCCCAAAACAGGATTCAGGTAGCTCATTTTGATAAATTAACCCAGGGGTCGGCAACCTGTTCCCATCAAAGAGCCATTGTTACCCATTTCCCACAGTAAAGAAAACACTGGGAGCCACAGCAGCCGCGGCGTTGTGGGCGGGGCCTACCCTCAGACAGCAGAGAGCTGCTTTAACCAATCACAACAGGTGACAGCAGCCAGTACCAGTCGCTCGTGTACGTCAAAGTTATCTTTCATAAGAAGATAATCAATAAAACGATTTATATAAAGTGGATCCAGAAGTTGTAGCCCGTCTCTGCCTACAATATTTAGATATTTTTCACCCTGTTGGTGGTTTTACTGAGCAGGTGCCACTTTTGTCATACGTTTCTTTTTAAAACATGTTTAGACTGTTCAGAATACAAATCCAGGCTCTGTCACGTTTGATTGTTGTAATTAAACTTTGTAGGTGGGGAAGGTCAGAAAAGGATCCGATCATTTTGTTTTTCCCTCATTTACAGTGACAGAGACAACGGTGCAGTGCTCCTGGCTCTGGTGTTGACCAAGTTAAATTATATCTCTTTGCAACAATTTTCACAAGAAAACAAAACAGTTAAAAGCAGGGCTTGTGTTGACCGGACAGTTCCCGTATTTGACCGTTTATTTTGACGAAGAAAGAATAGAAAGAATTACCCCGACGCATGCAGACGAACTGACATTTTATTCATTACGCACATCGCAGATGTAGCTAAATCACTCAAGAAAAGATTTCCATCTGAACATCTGAGCTGGACACTGCTCAGCGCAGCTCCCTGTCAGCGTGTACTACATAAGGTCCACAGCGAGCTGAAGATGTGGAGAGGGGCTTGGAGCGCGTTGCAGAACCAGAGCGCATGCGGGAAGGTTCCTCCGACTGAAGCGAGTGTTTTCCAAACCCTGTCGCTCAGAGAGACTTGTCACTTAGAAAATGTTCCCTGATGATGAAACTTTGGCTGAATAGCGCTTGTTCCTGTCTCCAATGTGGCGACACATCCAGGAGCCGTCTGAGGAGAATCCCAGAATCTCACATCCTCTTCAGCTCAGAAAGCGCCTATGATTACGCACAAGCGTGACGCCTCAACCCGGTCTCACAGTAAGACCGGGTTGGACCTGTTCAGGTTTACGCAGACAATCTTTACATTTAGAATTGGCATACAGATATGAAATTAATGCAGTAAAATATAAAGCATTTTATTTAAATATCCAGTCATTATTTTACAAGCACAGAGAGCCGCATCAGATGGATGGAAGAGCCGCCTGCGGCTCCAGAGCCGTGGGTTGCCGACCCCTGTCATAAAGGATGCGTACTGATGAAAACTAATTATTCCTTAGCCTTGATCATTCCTCTTGGGGAATTTTCTTGTAACAATGATTTTGAAATTTCAGCGATTTCATAAAATATCCCTGAGTTTTAACTCTGGATTGGTCATCCATATTCATCTAGAAACCTGCCTCAGCCACAAGGAGATTTCTCATGAGCATAAACCCACATGGACCTTCATGTTTATGTTTATGTTTATGTTTATGTATTTAGCAGACGCTTTTGTCCAAAGCGACTTACAAGTGATAATCGGCATATTGTCCTTGAGGCTAACAACAACAATAACAACAACAACATTGACATCAGTCATGGAGAGTAGGGAACAAGGAGTGGACAGTAGAGAGGGGGGGACGGGTGCAGGCAAGGTGTTAGTTAAGAAGATGCTCTCTGAAGAGCAGGGTCTTGAGGAGTTTCTTGAAAATTCAAAAGGAAGCTGCAGTTCAACCCCTTAAAGGCCTAGTGCACTAAGAAATCATTTATACTTGTTATTTTTGAGATATTATCGGGCATTCTGAGTTTGACATGTAGGCTAAGCAAGAAAATAGACAGATTATATTTTGCATTAAACACAGAAAATAGACGGGGAAACGTTCTGATTCATAAAGCTCAATTACACGTCCCATTGAATTCATAGACTCTTGGCTCATGATGAGGAAAGCTGTCTTTGATTTAGCATCCGGGAAGGAGCAGAGAACATCTCGGCTAGAAGCTAACTGTTAGCATTAGCAGCTCCAAACAAACAGAACGTGTGTTTTTTAATTTCACTTTCTCTTGTTCTTCATCTTACACAGAGTTACAAGGGTTTGTTGTTACCTTTGCTGACATGTTTCGATGTTTCACTTCTGCTTTGTCAGAACAACCGCCGGATGTTAGTGGTGTCACTTCCTTTTTGTGTTATATGTTGAGATAAAACATCAGTGTTGCAAAGCTAACAGAGTCAGTGGTAGAGTTGTGTTGTTAGCCAATCAGATGTCAAAATATCGGGACATAAGAGTCCAAATCCTGCCATCTGAAGCTCTCCTCTTATGTGGCAATTTTCTAGTTCCTGAAACTGGTGCATTGTAGCTTTTTTCCCCAGGGTACAAGGCCTACTTCCTACTAGAGCCCACTGCAAGTGTATTGATTAAGCAAGTGTTTCACACCTCTCTTGTGTATTTTGCTGCAAACTGCATTACTGATGCATATAATAACGAGGCAACACATTAAAACGAGCTTATGTACATATAAATTTATGCACCACACATGCAACACATGCTGCACTGGTGGTGTGAAGCATAACAATGTTTGGGAAGCCAGAAGTGATGAGCTGCTGTGGAATGGAAAGTTGTTGATCAGCAAACTGCAAGGTTGCTCTCAGAACAGACTTCTGAGTTTGATTCTCATCCTTCTTATTATCCCAATACACTTATCAGTCTATTTACTGAGTACTGAATACTATTCATATTAAAAAC